CAGGATGACTGAGCAACCTGTGGGAGTGAAAAGTTGGAATGTCAGAGATGACAATCACACAGTCACAGTCACTGCGCAGATTACAATGGTCCTAGACTTCAGCCATGACCATGTTGGAACTAATCAAAGCAAATCGTAGCTGTTTTTGTTATGATAACTGCTGTTTAACGCCGCAGTACGCGTTCCGAATGTTATCACAAGAATGCTGAGTTGTGGGCAAAAGTCGTGCCCCAGGCGGGAGTCGAACCCGCACCTCACGCTTTCCGGGCGAGTGCGCTATCCGTTACGCCACCAGGGCCGCTTTTACCCTCTCAGCTTAACGGCTTTTATGCCGTAGCCTTACAGCACTCACACGTTTAACTTGGTGAGCCGGTCAGCCGTAATCGTTAGATATCGGCATGGAACCGCGAGGTGAACCGCAACTTTTGCCCATAACTCAGCATCCTTCGGCCTTGCGGTTCCATGCCGATATCTAACGATTACGGCTGACCGGCTGTTAAACGTGTGAGTGCTGTAAGGTTACGGCATAAGCCGTTAAGCTGAGAGGGTAAAAGCGGCCCTGGTGGCGTAACGGATAGCGCACTCGCCCGGAGGTGCGGGTTCGACTCCCGCCTGGGGCACGACTTTTGCCCATAACTCAGCATTCTTGTGATAGCAAATCGTAGCGTTTTGACTTCAGAGCAACAACAAATTAAAACATATTCTGCACTAACCGCTCCATAATCGGCGTCTTCAACAACTTTGGACTCCTCCTCAACGACTATCGCATCCGTTGAAGTTGTTCCCTGAAGTTGGCATATGAGAAAACACGCCGTATAATCGAGCGAACGGAGAAATCGTTGGGAACTCACATTCGTCTCCTCAAATGGCTGATCTTCTGTGAGAATGGCGAGTTTCGCTTGCTCCTCTTCGGTAAGTTTGCCTTCTTTCTGCAGCTCCAACAGCTTAGCTATTCGCCAATCTCGTTCTTTGACTAGAGGAATTACAACGGCCTCCTTTTTCCTACTGTCTTCATCATCCCTAGAGTAATTGGTGACAATCAGTGGAGAGGAGATTTTGTCAAGAAAGGTATAAGCACACTACAATCAGAAGGAATTCAGAAGGAAAAACGAAAATTTCACCTGGTACGGGGATCTCCGTCTCCAAACTATGAAGTGAGCTTGCGTTTCTCTATTCCTCTCGGCTTCTGTCGTCATGCTCCTTTCCTCTGTGCACTGTCAACAACTTACACTGAAAAATTGGATTTTAACGAAGATGGTTGATGAAAAAACTTAGGATTTCAAGGCGAAAGAAGAGGTTATTGAAACAGAATCCAAAGAATTAACAGCAAGAAAAGTAAATACGTGTACTTGCGAATGAAACGTTGACTAGGAGGATGCTAGACGGGTGCCGTTTGCGAAGATAGAACGAAATTATGGGCGCAGTTTTTTGTTAGTTGCTTGAAGAAAAAAAGGGAAGCACGAAAAAATTACCCTATTTTATAAGTATCAGGCGCACCTATGAGGTCCACCTTCCCTTTGAACAAAAGGCACACAAGTAATTCTTCCTCATCTCACTTTTGCAAGATTTGGTTACACTTGTCAATATTAATGATCAATATCCAGTGAGAAAAAAAAACTGAGCACCAATTGGAAGGTTAAACTATGCAGAAGGAGAGTAAAACTGTTGTTGTGTAGACCGAGCTTCCGCGGTGGAATGCACCTTACCCCAGTAAGTAGGGTATTTCTCGGTTCTGTTTCATCTCAGAGCCTATGTCCAGGGTACAAATGACCCACAAAACCACTGAGCACGATAATACACTCAGACATCTCAAAGGGTTCAACAGGTCACAAAAGTTTCTCACAGATTTCATCTACAATGATGTTTAGCACCTTGAGCTCCGAATATTTTTCATCACTAGGAAGATAATAGACATAGGTCATTACAGTGATTAATTTCGGGCCTTCCATGAAGGTTAGAGCATGCGATACCCTTAAGTTTGTATTTATTGTCCACAAAGCCAACCAATAATTTGCAGATGTTAGGGAGTTTGCGCATTTTTCGTTTATAACCTTATTGGTTGTAGAGATATGTGCTGTTTCTGAGTAGACGAGGGAGCCGGAGTAAGTTTTCAGAGTGCGTTTATACTCCGCGACTCAGTCGCTCGTAGCGTTCGACACACACGGTGAGCGATCCACCTGCACTATGAACGCTATGAACGATTGCATCGCGAAGTATGAACGTACTCATACTTGGAAAACCTGCTTGCTTCGAAAAAGTTAAGTAAGGATGCGATGCTGAATTTCAAGCACGTGCCTGGGGTTTACGATGAAGCTTATACTTGTTAGAGATAGGAAGCCTCAAGACTGTGTTATGAAGGACTGTAGAGAAGAACTCAAAAACTGCTTCATTTGAAGAGGTATTGAGTACACTCCATATCCGG